TTTTTAATTTTTTTTTAAAGATTTTATTTATTTATTTGACAGAGATCACAAGTAGGCAGAGAGGCAGGCAGAGAGAGAGAGGTGGAGGCAGGCTCCCTGCGGAGCAGAGAGCCCAATGCGGGGCTCGATCCCAGGACACTGGGATCATGACCTGAGCTGAAGGCAGAGGCTTAACCCACTGAGCCACCCAGGCACCCCTACATTGCAATTTTAAACGGTTTGCTAGGCATACCTTTTTGGCATATGTTTATTATTTTTAGAAGTGGTTTTCTGCTCTTTATTTCTTTATAAAAGTGATATGTAGGGATTGACTTGTATAATTTTTCATTACTAATTTGTATTTGCCTTTTTACAAATACACCAGTCATATTGGCTTAGGGACCACTCTAATTGTCCTTATTTTAATCTCATTTCACCTCTTAAAGTCCCTGTCTCTAAATATAGTTATATTCTGAGGATACTGAGGATTAGAAATCCCACAGTGACTTTGGTAGGGAACAAAATTCAGCCTGTAACAATATGTCTTAGTCATCATCCTAACACAGAGCCTGGAAATTATTAAGTTTTCAATGCCTTCTTGTTAGTGCCCTATGTTAAAACCTTGGGTGTGGGGGGTGGTGCTGGGTATTGGAAGATTAAAAGTTAACAAGTAAATTTTAGTTTACTGAGTTTAGGAGTTAGTGATTTTGTGGGAGAGGAAAACTAATAATTGATAAGATACAAATTAAAAATTTTAATAAAAATTAAAAGTGCAGAATGATGTGAAAGGGAAAAATTACCCTTTAGGATAGTAATTTCATATAGATTTGAGTTTGAAAGCTAGAAATTTACAATTACATGGCTCTCTGACTTTGGGCGGCTTATTAGCTTTATAGACTCAATCTATAAAATGGGGAGAATAAATCCTGCTTCTTATGATGACAAAAAGAAAAAAATGTATAAAAGTCTCTTTTATACATTGTAATGTAGTAAAAAGTAAAGACAATATTAAAACTACTTAGTATGGCATAAGTACATAATAAGCAGAATAAATGCACTGATACCAAAATGATTGCTGCCTAGAAGGATTCTCATGACTCTGTTGCTGTGTACCATATGAATATCAGTTTTGTTAATAGGCTAATTAGAGCCAAGATACATGCACATTTCTATTTCTGAAACTCAGCACTAAAGGGTCTCTCTTTCAGAACACTGAGATTCAGTAACACAGTGATTCATACCTGGATATGAGGAGAATCCTGACTGTGTGCTGACATATGTTTCAGAGAGAGATCTTTATGTATCAGAATTGTGGGTTTGGAGATGTGGGGGATACTGTAATTTAAAAAAAAAAATCTCCCTGGTTTGTTATCTTCCTATTCTTTCTTTCCCTCCTGCTGCTCCCTACGCCCCCAACCAAAAAACATCTAAAACACTAACCTGTGTTCTTAAAGCAGATGATGCTTCAGGAGGACCTTTTTGGAGAATTAGACAATGACATTAATGGTATTGCAGGTAGGGGATGTGTACATTAGTCCAAAGATCAAGGTATATCTAGGTGGTATGATCTGGCTGAAGAGTAAGGTATGTTGCCCAAGGCGTGGGTGTTCATTTATTGCCTCTTATAGAAAAAAGGAGGTGGGAATTTTGTGATGAAGACTTGGAAATAGTTTTCTGTTGAAGTATGCTTAGGATTATTTGCCAATGTGTTTGTCAGGGTTCTCCAATGAAATAGAACAAACGGGATACACAAACGCACAACACATACATGAATTGGCTCATGTGACTGTAAATTATGTTGACAAGTTCAAAATCTACAAAGCCAGTGTCACAGTTCAAGCTATAAGGCTGGCAGGCTGCTGTAGAACCAGGAAAAGCCAGTATTTTGGTTCTAAGATGATTAAGCAGGAAGTTCCTCTCTTACACCTGGCAGGCGAAATCTTTGTTCTATTCAGATCTTCAACTAATTGGATGAGGCCCATCCACATTAGGGAGGGCAATCAGCTTTACTTACTTTACCAGTTTAAATGTAAACCATCTAAAAATACCCTCACAGAACACCCACATTATGTTTGACTAAATATTTGAACACCCCATTGCTCAGTCAAGTTGACATATAAAATTAATCAGTATAGTCAATAAAGTAAAATCAAAGTGTACCTTATTTTTAGCATAATTACTATTGACAATTATATGTATACCTTAACCCTTTAAAAGTTCTCACACATGGGGATGGGATATTAACTGAAAATTTTGTGTTTATTAATTAATGCTTACAGCTTTTTTAATACTAACCTGTAGACTACAGGTCATGTTACATTGGAATTTTCTATTAAGTCACATTGAGTTGTGCAATACCTGGATACTGTATGTAAATAGTTTTCAATAAATGAAAGTATGTGTTTAAAAAAAAGATTTTTGGGAGGAAAATTACCCTTCAGGTTCAGGTATTAAAATACCTCATTTGTCACAACCATCCTTTTAGGAAGAATTTAAGAAGATACTGTATAAAAGAGTGCAGTGACTAAAACTTAGAAGTTAATATTGGCAATAAGGTTGGCAGTTCAGGTATGATCTGAATTTAATTCCAGTATTTTTCTAATTTATCTTTGTATCTTTTGTGGGGGCAAGAACAAAGATTGGATTCTTGTATTAGAGTTTTTATGATTCCGGGAAGCAGAACGATTTTATGGTCCTCCCCCATGCTATTGTGTTTATTTTAACCTGGAACAATTTCTAAGAAGTGGTTTACTAACAGTTAGAAAAACAGAATAACATTTCTAAAGACTCCTGTTTTTGATGATTTCATTATTAACTTCAAGGAAGTTGTTAAATTCTTTGCTTTGAGAAATAATAACTATTAATCATATTTGAAAAGTTTTGTGCTTCTTGTGCTTCATGAAAAAATGAATTTGAAATATTATATATTTTTTCCTCAGTTGGGGGATATTTGAATAAGCGTGCAATTGAGGAGTTTGAATTTCTTCGAGCCCTGCTTCTCTAGCTACATTCTTTCCAATTTTAAGTCTCCACTTGCTTTGCACATGTATAGTCACTGCTGTTATCTATTGTTGGTGAAGATCTTAAGTACATTAACATTCCCAATTAGGGTTGTCTGTGTATATTTGTGGGATTATTAGTAGACATCACATGAGATGCTTCACCCTTGATCTAATGGATAAACTCATATATGAATGATCAGTAGGTATCCATTTTAGTTTTAAGTTCAGGGATGAAAACATAGGACTGTTACTCAAGTTGTGTATTTCATTGTTATATATAAATACTGCATTTAGGGTAAATATTAAAACTTGAGAGGTATTAGTGGGACAAAATTGAGATGGATTTTAAAAATTTATTTAAATTCAATTACCATAAATATATTATTGGTTTCAGAGGTAGAGATAAGTGATTCATCAGTCTTATATAATACCCAGTGCTCATTACATCACCTGCTCTCTACCCAGTTACTCCAGCCCCCTCCCCTCTAGCAACCCTCAGTTTGTTTCCTATGGTTAAGAGTCTCTTGGGGCGCCTGGGTGGCTCAGTTGGTTGAGCAACTGCCTTCGGCTCAGGTCATGATCCTGGAGTCCTGGGATCGAGTCCCACATCGGACTCCCTGCTCGGCGGGGAGTCTGCTTCTCCCGCTGATCTCTCTCTCCTCTCATGCTCTCTCTCTCTCTCAAATAAATAAATAAAATCATTAAAAAAAAAAGAGTCTCTTATGGTTTGTCTCCCTCTCTGATTTCACCTTGTTTTATTTTTTCCTCTCTTCCCTATGATCCTCTGAGTTGTTTCTTAAATTCTACAAATGTGTTTTTTTAAAAACGATTTTTACAGTTTGAAAGAGAGAGAGAGAGTGCACACTTGTATGCATGAGTGTGAGCATGGGAGAGGAGCAGGGGAAGTGGGAGAAGCAGGCTCCCCACTGAGCAGGGAGCTAGAGGACTTGGGGCTGGATCCCAGGACACTGAACTCATGACATGAGCTGAAAGGAAGGGTCCAATGCTTAAGGGACTGAGCCACCCAGGAGCCCCCCTCTCTTTTTCTTTAAGCAAACACTGAGATAATTAAGACCATAGGGAACATTTGAAGTGAGAGATGAGTCATATCTTTAGTCGACAAAAAGAATTTTAATTTGTAATTTTTGTTGAATCCATGCGATCGTAACAACATTTATTATGTGAACACTTATTAAGGATTTACTTGGAGTAGGCACTCTATGTAACTTTAAGTATATTAACTCATCTAAATATCATCACAATCTCATAATGTTGGGTCCTTTATTCCATGTTTCCCTCATTTCTTTTATATTTATAAATTCTGTGTAGAAAGTTCAGCTCTACAACAACAGCAATTTCTTAGCATACTATAGATGAAGACTGCATATCTTTTGAGAGCGTGCATGCAGGGTTAACAAAGGTGAATATTATTAGGTCATATGTTTTTGAATCAGATCATGTCAAAGAGGTCTAACAAATTTGAAGAAAATTGGTTTAGCTCTTTTCATTTGTGGTAACACTTAAACGGGCAGGAACTTATTGTATTTACCAAATTGAGAGGAATGCTAAGGAAATTGCGGTACTCACCCAGGGCGCTAGGTGGCACAGTGAGCTGAACACAGCAGCTATTGTCTAGCCAGGCCAGGGGATCTGCATGGGAGATGGGTTTTTATTGGATTCCTAGGAGATTCCAATAAATGTAGGAGGATTGAATTGTCAAGCCAAATAGCCATCACTTCTAGTTAGTCCTTTCCAAATGCATACTAAGATGGCTTATTTCTGTCGCTCACACAACTTTCTGGTTAGCTACCTACTCGAAGTTGAATACCTACCTTTATTGATGGGTGGTAATGGGTCAAGGACTTAGCAGTGCAAATTCCAAGTGATTTCACTGGCCTGAAGGTAAAACCTTCGTAGTTAGACAGTTACGAATAGCAGTTAAGCCTTGATTTTAGTATACTAGCACTTTGTTCCATTTTCTGTTTGAAACTTAATATATGTTTTTTTTTTAAATCTCAGAAAGAATTTCACAACACATTTGCATAATTATGGACACAAAAGAAGATAAGAATCATGTAGGCCATCATCTTGAAGAAATTTTAAAAAATGAATTAAATGTAAGTATTCAGAGGTTGAGTTTCATGACATCAAAAAGTTGAGTTCCCTTTATTCCCCATTTTTGAGCTGATGAACTTCTTAGTTAAATTCATACCTAATCAGGCTAAGGAAGTGGAAGAAGGAGTAATAAGTGTGAGGAAGTCCATAGGAATTATTTGTAATTTTTACCACTAACGGCTTGGTCTGTTTACTTCATTGACAACTTTTTGTCTTGAAATGTTTTGTTGGACAAAATGATTTTATTTAAGTCATTTCCCTGTTTCTCTTAAAATGTGTAACCATGTATTAGGGCTTATGATGAACAAGCGACAACCTTTCAACAGTGTACACAATCAAATTCTACTTAAAAGCCAAAGGAAAAAGTTCATTTTAGTTAATTTTATCATGATAGTGCAGTTAGAAAGGGAACAGGCTGTGTTAGTACTGTCTGTGCTCAGATGGCAGCTTTTTTACTGCCTAATTTCCAAATAACTATAAAGTTTGAACTTAAAGTTTAAATTTGAATAAAATTTCAAGTACTTCAGAAAGCATCTGGCTTGTAGTAAATTTCTGGTGAAGATTAAACTGTAATAATTAAACTTTTGATGATGAGACAGATGTGTTTTAAGTAATGAATCCTATTAGTTTCCAAACTGTAGTCCTGATTTAGATATACGAACTGTAAAGCACATAGATCCCTGGAATATGTAAAAATTTAGTGAACAGTAGTTTGGGATTAGTTCTAGAATCCAAATTTTTACACTTGATATTAGCCAAAAGGCTGAGAAGAGATAGAATCCAAATTTTTAACAAGGTCCTCCAGGTGGTGTTAATGGTACTTGGTGCCAAATTCTACCAGTAGCACTTGGAGCAACAACCCAAAGCTGAAAGAAAATGATCACCATATCCAGTGTCTCCTAGGTACAAATGTTATATTACAATATACTCTTCTTTTTTGCTTCTATCCATTGACTTTTTGGACATTTTCCCTTCATCCTTGGAAATTTTAGCATCTTGTGCTCTCTGCTTTCTGCCTCAAGTTCACCTGTTAAGAATCTATTCTTAAATTCCATTCCCTAGTTGCACAGCTGCATCTTGCAGAATATTTTACTGTCGGTAACTTTCCACTCTCTGACCCACTGAAGCACCCTTTTTGCCTCAAAAATAACCTTTTACTGGGACGCCTGGGTGGCTCAGTTGGTTAAGCAGCTGCCTTCGGCTCAGGTCATGGTCCCAGCGCCCACATCGGGCTCCTTGCTCATCAGGGAGCCTGCTTCTCCCTCTGCCTCTGCCTGCCATTCTGTCTGCCTGTGCTTGCTCTCTCTCCCTCTCTCTCTCTGACAAATAAATAAATAAAATCTTTAAAAAAAAAAAAAAAAAAAAACCTTTTACCTTTGGGTAATCTCTTTTATTCTTTATCCAGTCAATGCAGAAGTCACTGAGATGGGACCGTGAAAGAATATTACTGGAACTCTGGCTATCAGTCAATCCGAAGTTTAGAGTGTTGGGTTTTCATACTCTTGTTGAGTACCCAACTGTTGTATTCTGTGTGACTAATTCCTTTATTGATCTTTCTGGTATTGGACCCTGCAAGAAGTCCTTTTGATTACAATTATTATAGTACTCACTTTCTTTTGCTTCTTTTTCTGTATCTGTTTAGTGATGAAACACTAATTTAATACTAAATACTGTGTGTATTTAGGGATACACACAGTAGTACATGACTGGCCTGGTGTGATTTATTCATCACTCTGACCTCTTTTTCTTTTTTCTGTCCTTAACCTTTTTCATTTCCAGAGATCTTCATCTTCCTACACATTAGGTCCAGTCTGCATATTGCCATCATCTTAACTGTGCTGACAAAGTAAATACTAAGGCTATTTCATAACTTCTTACTAGAATGTTTTGTCATTCCATATCTTTTGCTAACTTGCCCCTGCTCATATTTGAATTTTAAAGGAAACTCGGGTTCCCCATCTTCTCCCTTTCTTTTGGCTACATTTTGTTTTATACCCTTCCTTGCCTAGTTTAGTTGTCATGTTCTAGCACTTAAGTGGATCATGGATCTTCTACCAATATCCTCAATTCCCTTGTCCTTCAAATGTACCCCTTTGGTTAAAACTTCATCTATTAGTCTAACTTTTAACTTCTCTAAGACTTGACTTAAACTTCATACTGCTAGAGAAAATTAAAAGCAGAGCAGATTGTTGCCATTAAAAAATCCTGGTCTCCATTCTCCAGGGGGCACAGAATATTTTAAAGCAAGTATACTATGATTGCATATTCAACTGTCCATTTCCTCTGTGAATATTTTAAACCTCCTGAACTTTGCTCAGGTTTTCTTAACCTCACTGTTGGTATTTTGAGCTAGATAATTCTTTGTTGTGAGACCCTGTCTTCTGCCTTGCTCACTGTTTAGCAGCATCCTTGGCCTATACTCACCAGATGTCCCTCATTGTAGCAAGTAAAACATCTCCAGCTATTAGTAAATATGGTCTGGATGGGGCAAAATCCCCCTTTCTGTTCAGGAATGCTGGTCCAATCCTACTGTCTTCACTGCTATTGTTAGACACGGTCTTGTCTCCAACTTCAGAGCATAATTATGCACTCCCACATGGCAACATCCCTGTCTTCTTGACTCTAAACCTCTGAAGAGTCCTACATCAGTAGCCATGCTCTTACTAAGACTGTTTCCTCTTCAGAGCTCTGGTTCTCTTACCTCCACTTACCCCATTGCCATCAATATCCCAGCATATTCAAGTTCCTTCCACTAACTGAATTTAAACAAAACAAAAAATCTTCTTAACTCAGGTTACCCTGAAGCCATCCTTGATTAGAATAATTTAACTTCTCATTCCTTATTTCACTGTAGCCTGATTTCCAGTCCCACCTTCCACAGGATTTACTCTCAGCACGATCCTCAGTGACCCTTTGGGCAGTCCACAAGACATTGATCAGTCCTTACCTTGATGTATTGCAGCACTTGACCCTCTTGTCTAATACTTTCTTCCAGAAGGAATCTCATCCCATTTTTATAACATATTGTCTTTCTGAACCTCCTTTTTTGTTTGTGGCTTCCTCTCAGTTTTGTTCATAGGATCCTGTTCATAAATTTTAGTTTTTCCTACATAGGTGAGTGGTTTTCTCTGTAAAACCATGATGATGGGTTCATATATTGTCCGCTTACTAGAGATAAAATCATTCTCTAGCCCTGTGTTTAATTATTCACCAGCCTGTGTTTCAGATCTGTAAATTCAATTAGAAGTTCCTTAGACCCTTAAACTTCCATGTTAGAGATAGTTAATATTTCACAAATTCTTGTTAAAAGCAGTTGTCCTCCAACTGCTAAGGTTTCAGCCTCTGACGTGTGTACATTTTGCCTAGTCCCTGAAATCTGGTGTAATCTTTCACCCATTCTCCGTTTCACCCGTGAAGCAAATAAAATTCCAAAGCAGGTTTTGTGAGACCTAAGTCTAGGCACGGCACAGCCAGTTGGCCTTGGTTCAGGGTCTTTAATTTGATTGTCATCGAGCTGTCCTCTGCAGGCTGAGGCTGTAGTCTCATCTGAACCATCCATGTCCAAGTGGATCTGCTCCCAAGCTTAAGCAAGTAGTTGTTGGCAGACCTCAGTCCCTTGCCGTGTGGCCTTACCCACAGAGCTGCCTCACAGCATGTTATTCAGGACTGAAGACATGGTCTTTTCTTAATTTGATCTTACAAGTAAAACCCCGTCACTTGTGTTCTATTGTCTTCATTCAAAGCAAGTCAATATATCCAACCCAAACTCAAGAGGAGGGGATTCTGTGAGATTGTGAATATTGAGAGGTGGGGGAATTGTTTGTGGATCTCTTTTAGAAGTTGTCTGCCACAAACATAAATTTGTTACTAAGTTAGAAAAGAAAATACCCACTACTGTGGCCATCCTAGCCTCTGTACATGTGACGCAATACTATATCTAAGTCTGAGTCTTTATTAGAAATCGTTAACCAAACCAAACTATAATTCCTTAGTTAAGTAAACGGAAACCCAATCTGTTTGATATGAAAACTAGTCCTTAGAACTTGAGTTTATCAGATATTCTATATGACAAACACCAAAGTTGATCAGAAACATCTGAATAGTTTTCAAATCAGTGACCGACAAATGGAGCTGACTAGCCAAAACCAGCAGCCTAAGGACATATGCTAAACAAAGAATGAGTTTAATCTCTTGAATTAATTATAGTTCTATACAATATAAACCAGCCTAACAAATTTTCAAATTCTAATAGGAAAAATAGTCAATGACTACTTTGTTTAGATTTTTATGTTGATCATTCTATAATATAACCCTAGGTGCCCTGTTGTGTAATCTGATAAAACATACTAAATATTGACTTAATTTTAGAAGAAACGAGTCCAGAAAAGAGAAAATAGTCTACACACATTGTTCACAGCTTCAGAAATAGTTTCTGAGCTTCTGCTAGGTTTCCTTTCTATATTTTTTCTTGTCCTTTGCTACTCCCTCCCTCTGTCACCCTTTTTTGTTTTTTGTTTTAAAGATTTATTAATTTTAGAGAGAGCACATGTGATCTCAGGGTGAGGTGACTTGGGGGAGAGACCAAGAAGCTCAAGGATGAGCTCCCCGAGCATGGAGCCTAACATGGGGCTTGACCTGATAACCTTAAGATCATGATTTGAGTCAAAATCAAGAGTTGGATGCCCAACCTACTGAACCACCAGGTGTCACTTATGATGGACATTTTCAATTACATACTTAAAAAGCGAGACCATTATAATGAACTCTCATGTACTTATTACTTAGCTTCAACAATTACCAACTCATGACCAATCTTGTTTTCTCTCTACTCATTAACCACCTCCCAATTATGCTGATGAAAGTTTCAGCTATCCTATCTTTTCATCTGTAAATATCTCAGTATGTATATGTACAAAAAGATTCCATCTTTTAAACTGTAATCATAATTACACTCTAAAATATCTATACTCATGCCTTAATATCTTCAAATGTACAGCAATTC